GGACACCGTCCAAGGCGAATAGTGATGTTACTTACTAAGTTTCAGTACCGTTTTACTTTATTTTAAAACTGAAACTTAGTAAGTAACATTACTATTCGTCTTGAAGCATGCGTTTGGACGGTGTCCAGGCCTACAACGACATCAACCAGCATGGGTACGTCCTGAAACAGATCGGTGTACAATTACCTACTAATATATACTCCCGATCAAAAACCGGCAAGACAGCGAACTCATGGCTCAATGGTTAAGGCGTTTTACTCTGACCATAGGGATCGCGGGCTCGAAACTCGGGTGTGACAGCAATTTCAGCGGCTACACTGGAGTTGGGTATCGCTAGCTGACGACGGCTACTAAGCCAGCAATAGCTATCCTAGCGCCCCTGTATTTGGCGGAAATACCTAAAACAATTTATTCTGCACAGAAGGAAGGGGAGAATAGGCAGCAGGAAATTGACTGTCAGACGAGTGAACAACCGCAGGCTTGAGCACCGCGTCTGAAGTAAGGTAACCGCGAGAATCGCCACAGCGTCTGAAGCGGCCTTTGTGGGAGTCGGCCTTGACATGTGATTGGCCAGACCGCGTGGGCAGGCGGAGGTATGCGCGCGCACCTTAGCAGCATTGGGCGTCCGCAGCGGCTGTCCAAAAGGTAGCTCGAGACTTGACATAAATTGAGGGTCTGCGCGGACTTGGGCCACTACATATTCACTTCATTTTAGTGCGTCATCACGCCCCAAGGGTCGTGGCTGGGTGGGCTACCAATTGATGCGATGAATCAGCTCTGCTTGGGACTCAGATCCGGAGTCAAAATTGGTTGTCGTTGGAAGACGGGAAAAAGCCGTGACCTCAACCGGCATGAGCCAAAGGTCCGCGGGGGTGAGTTGGGTGCCTGGTCAGGAAATGCAAGCGAAAAGATGCTGACAGTCATGCGAAGAGACACCGCAATCGGGATAGCCGTCGGATGTGGACGGGTCGAGCCGGGGAAGCCTACAATGCGAATTGCCGTGGCGGTGGTCATGGTAACTTGTTTTTAGAAACCGAAGACCGCATAACTTAGGGCGTGATTGCCGTCTGTTGCTTTTGCCGTTGACGGAAATAATATTTGCCTGGCGGTGGAGACAGGCGTGAGTTGATCAATTAGCTGTGTACGTTATGGGAGAAAAGTATGCATAAATGATGGATTTACACTGATTGTCGAACCGAAGCATCTGGGAAGGTGAAAGTATCTGAGAAGGACTACCAGCCTTCTTCTGGCTATATTAGATTGCTTACACCGGATGTACTTGAATCCCAGTGTGCAAGGCTAGTGGGGAGAGTGGGAACTCGATGATTGGGGGAGTAATCTTACTCGCCTGATGTTTCGGATTCAGTCTGAATTCCATCATCAAATGCAGCAACGCGCGGGTAGTCGGGGGTACAAGATACAGAGGAATAAGTGCGTACGCAATCGCAGGTTTGCGAAATTGCCCGTTTCTGCCTGATTAGCCTGGTAATGTCATGTGATTAAACACTGTCTTAATGAATACTAACCGGTTGATTTAATAGAGTTGGGAGCGGAATACTCCGTAGCTTGTTTAATTCCTTCGTCCATTATTTCCATTCAGTTATAGATAATCAGTAAATGAGATCTCGTCCTTTTGGCTTGCCGGTGTAGTATGCAACATTCTGAACTCTGAGAGATGCTAGCCTTCGACTGAGCGTTAGCAGTGGATTAAAATTCGGCACAGAAGTTTCCGATGGTTTCTCAAGAGATACTTTACACGCAAAGCATGCCGAAACAAGCTCCGCAAACATTTAAAGATAGGGACGCTCCCTGTGTCGTTTTTAAACGTACCTGTCCCGACTATGCCTCAGGACTCATTCTGGAGTCGCATCAGCAGTCGCACGGTGGCCCGTATTATAGGCAAAAGGTATTACAAGGGAGACTGGAGTGGTCACTTCTGGCTTGTTAGCCGTCATCAGCTAGCCATACCCGATCTCGTCCTCGCACGTGAGACTTGTTGGCTAGAACTCCAACGCCCTATCAGTGTTAGTCTGCCCGATCGTAATCGACAGAACACAGAGTTCGGGGCTCAGTAGTTAGGACGTTGGACGTCTAACCAACGGGTCGCGGGCTCGAGCTCCGGGTGCCACAGCACCTAGGGTTGTGTATGGCTGGCTCATGAGGACTAATAAGCCGGAACGAGCCATCCCAGTCTCATTGGTTGTTGGCGGTAGTGTTATTCTGCCGGACACAGGTTTCCACTTTTAAAAGGAACCGGACATCAAGAAGCTGCCGCAGTGATGCTCAATTTATTCTTGGACACGAGAGGACAATCGGACAAGTGAATCCTACAGCATTCACCTACGCAACCCGATACCCTCACACCTGAATGCACAGTGGGGACATGCTGACGGAAAGGCGAAGGCTACGCTCTCTTTTATTTTAAGTGTTTCAGATGTTGTCGTACGTTTGCCAAACTCTATCAATGTCGGCCTCAGCAGTGACAGTTTGCCATCTTCTCGGGCATTATTTAGACTGGCTGTCAAATGGGTCAATCATTTAAGGACTGAAAGGCCCGCGTATACGTTTGGACGGCGCGTAGATATGCCCCAGATATATCAGAATATTGTCTCGGAACAGTTGAAATGCCATTCGGATTATGTTGACAAGTGCTATAGTTCATCCGCTTGGAGGACTACGCCTCCCTCCCTCCCTCCCTCGAATGCATTTGGTCCCAAGGTGTGATAACAACTGGCACCCGAGCACTTGGATTTCGGCCCCCCAAAAGGCGATCAACATTCCATTATTTTGTGCTATAAGGAACATTAGTCCATTCCTCCAGTAAGCTCCCTTCTCCAAGCAGCGTTTTTTAAGCTCAGTTTGCCCAACATGTTAAAGTGGTGATTCAGTACGTAGTCGGTCCCCTGTCGAGCAATCCGTTTATTACTATAATCATAGTATACTCCAATTTATTTGCTTTGTTAATTGGTGGTGAGATTTTATCGGAGAGTACTGAAATGCTCTTTTAGTTAAAAAGCTAGGCGACATTTATGGTTATGAATGCTCTAAATTTGACGTGACCACAGTATTAGCTACCCAAGCAAACGGTACTACGTTACGACATAAACGCATAGTAGAACTTGTGCTATTATTTAATAACGCTTTGTCTTAACCCATAAACTATTTATTTTACCTCATTCAGATTGGGACTGCATACTGGGTGCCGACTTTCTACAAGCAAATAGAGCGTATCATAATATACTAGCTACTGGTCTTAGTAATTATGATTACTAGAATTAGCGCTCAAGCATAGGCACGTTCTTATACTAACAGTACCCTAGTCCTCGTGGTCAAACTTCTAGTAGAAACGGACACAGCCCGGGGATAGAGTTGAGAGGGCGGAAATCAGGGCAAACCCTCATGTGCACAGGGCCTCAAGCAGGTATTCACTCGAAATAACAGAAAACTAGATTTCATGCTCCTTGCCCCAGCGTTGAATTCGAATCAGTGTCACCTCTGACTAATATTAGCGTCAGAAATAGTACCAGTACTACTAAGACTCAGCTACATTGATAGTCAGTAGGAGTAGTAATAGTAGTAGTAGTAGTAGTAGTAGTAGTAGTAGTAGTAGTAG